AAAATATAGCAAATAAATTGCGGAAATAGTCGGATCAAATTTTTACTACGATTTTCGTCTTCAGCACCCCTGAAAACCCATGGAAAGATATATTCAACGACAAAACAGCAGATAAATGGCCTTGTTGCTATGGGATTTTGTTTTGGAACATACCAAATCTTTGACTTACTTTTTCTCAAAACTTACTTTTGTGAGTTGGGTAGCTTCTAATGAACACAGCTCAGTCAATTTTTGCCCAATTCAAACAAACTATACATCAAATTGAAGGCAATGAGTTGGAGAATATGAAAATAACAATAACTCAATTTTCAAAATTTCCTCATTGTGTCACATATGTGTCTCAGAGTGCTTTTCCTGTGACAATATGTCTCGGAGTGCTTTTTGAACAGGAAAATGTAGTTCAGCAGGCTTTAAAACATAGGAATCGACACTTAGATCACGCAAATCGGACAACTACAAATATTTCTAAGCAAAACATCAACTTCGGGTGGCCATTTTGGTGGCCATCTTGAAAAATGGCCGCCATCTTTGATTTTCAATTGGCCAATCGGGCAGATTTGATTAGTATCTCTTGGAGAACAATTGTGCCAAATTTGATGCTTGTATCATCATTTGCACGATACTTCCCAAAAATTGCTCTTATCTGCTCCACTATGGTCAGTTGTACAACTTAAAATATACCAAATTAAAGACTATCAAATAACATTTATTAGCCAAATCAAAATGAACAAAGTACACATAATAAATTGTAAGAATTTTAACGAACCAAAAAAAGTCCAGAACACACAGGCGATCTGATTTATCTTGGAATCAAAAAAAAGTTCAGAACACATTGATAATGATAATGTCAACCGTTAGAATTCGAAGATTAAACCAACATAACACAGGAAATCAGAAAATATTACTCTTAGTCCAAGATTTTGTTTTCTTCATCAGTTGATGGAACAAGCGGGCGGTTTGATACTGTCAAGCTCTGGTAAAAGTGCTCGTATGTTGGAGGGATAACTCTTTCCTTAAGAAGAGACATAAGATCTGTTTTCTTAGCGGAAGATATTGGCAAGGAAGATTTATAAGCCTTCTTAAGAGGGATGCTGTCTATATTTGTTCACAGGAAATCAGAAAATATTACTCTTAGTCCAAGATTTTGTTTTCTTCATCTGTTGATGGAACAAGCGGGCGGTTTGATACTGTCAAGCTCTGGTAAAAGTGCTCGTATGTTGGAGGGATAACTCTTGCCATAAGAAGAGACATAAGATCTGTTTTCTTAGCGGAAGATATTGGCAAGGAATATCAAACATACTAAACTGCAGCACAAATATCTACGATTTCTATGTGAAGCAAAAAACTGGACAAAAACCACTATTTAGCATAAAAAACCCCACAAAAATACACACTCTGTAGCATAATCCAACTCACACAGTATTCCTTGGCAACTATGAATGGGATCCTGTACAAATCATGTCTTAAATCGACAAAAATTCGCAAAAAGTTACAGAAATTTTACTCAAAACATTGCCAGGATGACCATGCTGGATTTAGACAATGGCGTCAAAAGGGGATTTCCCGTGGAACCACCTTTAGCGCGGTAAATTCAAACTGTTAAAAACGATACGGGAAATTCTGTAGCCATGCAATTTCAGCCTTTGTTTACTCTACGGCATAGGCCGTAGCCATGCATTTATGGGTTAATGATAGTTTGAGCCAAATCTTTCAAGTTAGAAAAGCTTGTATGATCCAAATGATACACTTTATAAGGTTTGGTGTATAAAGAACTTGGTGTTTAGCAGCTCGCGCAATTAGAGAATGCATGGAGTCGACCTCCATAAACTTTACATCCACAGTTTCAAGATTTGGGTTTTTCTGGACAGCATATAGCATTGCAGCGGAAATGTACTGATTTCTGTTCTGTCCAGAACAGGTATCTGAAAATGTAGAAACGTGTTTAACATGATTTCCAAGTGAATCCAGATAGTGAAGTAGTGCAGACCCTATCTCTGATGAGCCCCTCTGTCCTTCCGTCTCATCCCAGACGTAACAATATCCATCAGCAGTTGCAACATCATAAATTGTGAAATTGTAAAGACTCAACTTTCCTTTGTAAAAGATTTGAGCATCTCCAGCATGAGGTAGATTAAGGACAGCCTGTAAACCAAATGAAGCCACAACAAATGACCTATCAACTTTATCTCTGTCTTCTGCTTTACCATCCAGTGATTCTTTTTCTCTAAGCTTGTGATTGTCCCAGTTTCTTCGCATAGTCTCTTTATCCTCACCAACAGCACTATAAAAACACTGAACATTGTACATTGGTCCTTTTTTGGCTTAAAAAAACGGAGGTTGAAATTATTCATAAAAATATTTCTATATTTATGCTCTTTAACAGGCTTTTAAATTTGTTTTTTTACACAAAAATCATTAACATAAAGTCAATACATTTTACTTATGGATAGATCGCTGTTCAAATATTCTGATTTTGTATGTTTACGACAATAGTGGGACTCGACTCTTGGAAAAGAGTTGATGTGTTCCTTTACAAAGTTAAGGGCTTGATTTTTACGTTTATCATCCCCACTGTAGGAACCTGAAGGATCTGTAGAAGCGATTGAACTTTCAACAAATGAATTACTTATATCGAGTGTGGTAAGAAAATATTTTATACAGACCCATTTCTTTTCATTTTCTTTAATGAAATAAAACACACAGCTTTTACTTTTTCCCTTCAGTTGAACATTCTTTCTACTTCTTCTTCGCTCTACTTGCAGAATTCTGACCCTATGACAAATAAAATCTTTTTGTTGCTTTACGTCAGCTAGTTTATAAAACTCCTCACATATTTGTTCTCTTTTAGATTCTGGAAAATTATAAGGACAATTATATCTACATTTCTCACAATTAACAGGCTGTGGTTTCTTCTCAATACGTTTACCTTTTCTTGTAGTGTAAGATTTTCCGGATACCCTATTGGTATGACGAATGTTGCACTTCCATAAATCGGGGTCTCTTTTCCGTTTTCTTATAGGTCTCATTTGATTTTTCTCTGTAGTCTCACCTCCGTGCTGCACAGGTAAAGTTAAAACAGGTTCTACGTCTAGTATCAGCACTTAATTTAGAATTAACCTGCCCATTTTCTTCACCACTCTCACTACTACTTTCTGACCCAGGATTGTACGCAACATCAAGAGGATCATCTATTCCTTCTTCAGCACTTTCAGTTTCTTCGTCAGTGTTGATGATGTTTGAACTATTGATTAAATTTAAACTTTGCACAATAACTTCTGAACTGTTAATCAAATTAAACTTTGCGAAATAACTTTTTCAAAATATTCTTCACATGTAGGTTCATCCTCTAGCATGTCCAATATATCATATAAACTGTATTTTGGATCCATTTTAAAAATACATTTACACAAACTTTAATGTTTAGACCCCTGACAACGTGTTTTGTAGGCGATATGTCCACTGGTTCCTGTTTAGTGTTATGAGCTTTCAGTAGACAAAAGTTAATGTCCGCAAATATCACTTTTGCATACTAAACTTTTGCTGAATGGTGACATGTGCTATATGTTTTCATGGCAATAACATGATACTCTAATTAACTGGACTAACAGCATTTACACAGTAGAAGGGCGCATGTTTATGCTATTCAAAAAGGTCAAAACATCATTTTGACCAAAACTGGACATGTAACATTTGCATACTCAGCCATCGATATCAAGGTTGTGGACCCTCTAGAGGTCACAATTTTTACCCGATTTTGATGAAACTTGAAATGCAGGTTTATAATCCAAAGATCTTGGTTCCTTTTGATATTCGCACATTTCGGATTGTAACTTCCTGAATTATGGCCCCTGATTGTACGAAAAATCACGTTTTTAGCTTGTGGTCCCTCAAGAGGTCACAATTATTATCTGATATGAAAAAAACGTTCGAATATGTCACCGTTGGTTGAGTTCGAATTTCATGGAAATCGGACCCAAACTGTCAGACAAAATGGCCGCCCGTCTATGCAAATAGTGTAATTATCTGGTATATCAAGGTTGTGAACCCTCTAGAGGTCACAATTTTGATCCAGTTTTGATGAAACTTGAAATGCATGTTTATAACCCAAGGATCTTGGTTGCTGTCGATATTTGCGCATATTAGATCATAACTTCCTGAATTATGGCCCCTGACAGTACAAAAAATCGCTTTTTGTTTAGCTTGTTCCCTATCCATCTCTTGAAAAATGTGGGCGTATCCTGCCTGGCAGCCACTGGTAAATTGATATATAGATACACGTTTTATGATTCTGGACGAAACGTTATGTGCATCTCAAGAAATCTTTGCTCAGGAACCGCCCCGTAGTGATCTTGAAAAATGATCCCCGGATAATGATAGGCATAACAGATAGCTGCCGTCGTATGAATTCTGAAAAATAATATTTCACTGCATCGCAACAGGTCAGTACTAAAACTAACACTTATTACGGTATTTCAACATAGTGTGGCAAAATAGACATTCGGTGGCAAAACTGAACTGAGACCCACAACTAAACACATCGTGATATCTGAACATCCCACATGAAATTAGATGTTTGACAACAAAATTGAACACCTTGTGTAATTGGACACCTTGACTGATTTTAATCACGGTTCAGGAAATTGAACGGTCCAACTAATTATTGAACAGTAGTGATAATTAGGCAGAACGCTTATAATTAAATATGTGTCGACAAACTAAACACTAGTTAGACGCTTGGTAATCAAAATTAAACAGTGAGATTGAAATTGGATACAAGTACAAATTGAACACTATTAGCCGAAATTCAACAATAGTTATGAATATTTGAACACAGGACAGAAATTAGCGCTATTTACGCTAGATTAAACGATACCAATTTTCTGGTGTTACACAACAGCCCAATTACATGTAGCTCCTTGCAACATCAGGAGATTAGTTGATGTCTTAGTCCTTAGTTAATATTTTATTTAGAGAAAATCATAATGTCTATTGTTTTATAGAATCAGCGAGGTGATGATAATGATCAGAAGAAATTTACCATGAACGCTAAAGCACCAGTGTTTACATCAATGTATAATCAAGGAGACAATTCAAATAGTCGGAACAACAGTAATCAATCATATCAAGGTAAAAGCATTTTGAATATTATTATATATTTTTGTTTCTGGTTCTCTTAAATTAACTGAAGTGAATTCTTTGGACTTTCTACTATAGTATAGGACTTTCTTCAACAATAGTTTGAAATGTTTTGTTTCATAATTCTAATTTAATTATTCGTACTCTAAATGCCTCAAAAATTGATTTTAATAAGGAATGTTGAATCATACATGATCAAGGTTCTCTCTTAAAACAATCAAAATTAGTGGTTTATTTCACGTCATATAATTTTACAACCAGTAGACCGAACGGCAATTTTTATACGCTCACATTTTCACGTGGACGTATTGGGCTGTCGTCCCTGTCCGTCCACAATTTGTTTGTGGACACTCTACAGGTCACAATTTTTATACACTCACATTGAAATGTGGTCGTGTATTGTTGTCGCCCCCGTTCGGCGGTCTGGCGTCCACATGTGTTTAAGGTCATGAGACGAAGAATCCTATTGATTTTCAGAGATTACCAATAATTACTGCCAGAGTTATGACCCTTGATCACTTCAAAAAATCTTGTGGATGCTCTAGAGGCTAAAGTTAATATCTGATTGACTTTAAATTTATACACAGTGGTTAAGTTCATGAGACGAAGAATCCTATTGATCTTCAGTGATTTCCGATAATTACTGCCAGAGTAATGACCCTTGATCGCTTCAAAAAATCTTGTCCGATTGACTTTAAATTTATACAGTGTTTGAGGTCATGAGACCTTTTGTATACACTAGTGTTGAAACTACTATTCGGATATTCGTTAACGGATACAAAATAAGGGTTATCCGAATCATTTTACTATCCGTTTACTATTCATTCCAATATATTCTTACATTCCGTATGCTCTATATTTAGCCATTTTTACATCTGATTACGTTGAAATTTTCCCCAATGCAATTGATCACGTACGCAGCTCTGAGCATAAATGTCAACATTATGCGTATTATTTAGTGATAGTAACTAATAAAATTATTAATGCAGTGCAACGAAAACAGTAATCTAAATAAAAAAAAATATTCATTCATTCCCTGCGCTAGTTTACGGCATACAAGTTTAGACCTCGTTTTGACTTCCCACAAGGAAATTTATTCATAACGACCTAGGTCACGTATATTCCCACTTACTGATTGGTTCAATAGTAGTAGATTATCAGAATGAGGCAAACGACCTTGGCGGAATAAATGGCACATGTTTTTATTTTACTTTTTCATTTGTGTTGATTGAGCAAAATGATAAGCGGGAGGGTGCGGATTACAGGAGTAGTTATACTATACAAATTCCTTCACCTCATTGATTTTTTGGGATGTCATAGATAGTCTTAATAATTACAGCTAAAGGTAGGCACTTTTTTTTCTTCGCGGCTCAAACAATTTGCAAATCGAAAGTACGATTTCATACTCGGCATACACAGACACTCACATTGAAATAAGTAAGAAATTATGAGTACCGGTATATGAACTTTTGATGTAATTTTGTTCAAGAATTTCACGTCTTCGAATTATCCGAATAGTTTTTGGATAGCCAACAAAAGTATTCGGATCACAAATCTCGATCCAATTTTCAACACTATTGTATACTAAATGTTAGCATGGGGCAGAACTTTATAAAAACCAAACAAATTCTAATGATTTTCTGATAATTACTTAATGAGTTCTTACTCTTAATCAGATTTTAGTGTATTATAAATATTCCATTACTGAAAAAAGTAAAAATATGTGGTAACTCTTGTTGACTGCTTGGACGATTTAGCTGCTATGGGCGTATGTTTCATTGCCTGGCAACCTATCTTTATCTGATTTCGACCAAACTTCAAAAATAGACCTATCTCCCAAAGATCTTCTTTCGATTTTCGATATTGGCATGAATCATACCATAACTTCATGGATTATGGCCCCTGAATCTACGAAAAATAATGTTTTTAGCTTGAGGTCCTTTCAGATGTCACAATTATTATCTGATTTAAAAAACCATTAGAAAAATATCACCGTTAAGCTGTAATGTTGGTTAAGATCAAATTTTGTGAACATCAGACCAAAATGGCCAGACAAAATGGCCGCTCCAATTACGCATCTAGTGTAAAAATATGGTAGATCAAGGTTGTGGACCCTCTAGAGGTCACAATTATAATACGATTTTGATGCAACTTAAAATACATGTTTATAATCCAAAGATCTTGGTTCCTTCCAATATTCGCGCATATCGGATTGTAACTTCCTGAATTATGGCCCTTGATTGTTCAAAAAATAACGTTTTTAGCTTGTGGTCCCTCTTAGAGGCCACAATTATTATCTGATTTAAAGAAACATTCAAATATATCACCCTTACACTGACATGTCCATTGAGTATTAATTTCCTGAAAATCGGACCAAAACTGCCAGACAAAATGGCCGCCTCTCGTATGATAATAATGTAAACATATGGTATGTCATGGTTGTAGACCATCTGGTGGTCACAATTTTGATTCGATTTTTATGAAACTTGAAATACGTGTTTATAACCCAAAGATCTTGTTTTCTTTCGATATACTGGGGAAGATCGGATCATAACTTCCTGAATTATGGCCCTTGATTGTACAAAAAATCGTGTTTTTAGCTTCTGTTACCTCTAGAGGTCACAATTTTAAACCGATTTTAAGAAAAACGTGTGAATATATCACTGTCACACGCTGATGATGGTTGTGAAAACCGACCAAAATTGCCAGACAAAATGGTATATAAAGGTTGTGGATTCGCTAGAGGCCACAATTTTTTATACGCCTGCATTTTCATGTGAATCCAAATAAATATAAAGAGAGAGGAATCCAAAACCATTTGAATAACATAAACTTACATGAGATCCAAGTCATAATAAACTAGATACAGTGACACCAGTAGTAGTAGTGGTTAAAAACAAATTCTTGGGTATACAAAAACATCTTTATAGAATCGAACGTTTCATAAGTGTAAAAACTTACTTCTTCAGAGAGTACTATTCGTAAGTTTTTACACTTACGAAACTTTAGATTAGACTGTATAAAGATGGTTTTGTGATAACCAAGACATCGTTTTTATTGTGGAGCGGCTTGGTGAAATTTATGTTCACATTTGGCAGAAAGGCTGAAATTTGGCACAAACATAGCCTAACACCTACTAATCATAAAACAAGCAGGAGGCAACAGTTCCTCAAAGTGCATCCTGCTTTTTTGGGACAAAAATGCAAAAATTGTGTTTTTCACGTAAATAAATTTTTAAAAATTGTTCACATCTGGCAGAAAGGCTGAAATTTGGCACAAACATAGCCTAACACCTACTTATCCTAAAACAAGCAGGAGGCAACACTTCCTGAAAGTGCATCCTGCTTTTTTTGGGACAAAAATGCAAATATTGTGATTTTTACGTAAATCTAATGAAGACCAATTATGAAAATTATTAATTTAGGGATTATTATTAGGCACTGAGGAAGTAAATTAGTGATGTTACTCATCACAAGTGCTTGATTTTACTGTGCACATTCTCCAGAACAGGAACACAGGTGTGTGCACCGAAGACCTGCTTTGCAACATCTACACTGCCCACTGCAGTTGGTCTTGCATCCACATTTGATCAGTATTTAGGAACCCATGATGTCTCTTCCCGAGTCCAACCCCATTCCGATGGGCAAGGAATGACTGGGTGTTTGTCGAGAGTTTGTCCCCATATGTGGCCACTCTGGGAGGCTGCTTTTTTGGCATGCTGGATCAATGCGTCCTGAGTTGGTGGAATGTTTTCAATATTCCTATCACCTTGGGTGAACAGACTCATGCGTGCCTCATTCACAGTGAGTATGGGCAAAGTGTGTTTGTACATGGCCACAGTAAATCGCTCTAGCTGACACATTACTGCCTCGCCAATCTGTGCTGGCATCGACAGTTGAGTGAAAATTGGAGTGATGATTTCTTTCATTGACATCCAGACATTCCATGCTGTAGTCTTCCCAATTCCAGAGAAAGTTGAGACTGTGTCACAGCCTGTAAAGGCATGGAAGAAGAGAAGGCCCCTGGATATATTGAGTCCAAGCTTTTCAGCAATCTGATGAGATGGAATGTACCGTTTATGGGCTCCATGACCAAAGTTCAACCACAGCTGACAGTCAAGGTAAGAGGCGAGAGCAATACTGAGGAGAACAACATCTGTATCCGTTGCAACCACCAGAATGTTCTTGAAGCCTTGGGTAGCTGCATGCTGGGAAAAATTTGGGCACACAATTGTACTTTGTAAAAGTTGTATAAAAAAAGATAGTGTGTTCTTGAATGTGTCCAATTTAACAGCGAATTTATTATTATTATGTAACATACTAAGAACCTAACTACATTTTTTGGGCACCAACCACCACCGCCCCCCCCCCCCCCAGTCAAAAATTTCCCCGTACGCCTATGGCTGCATGTTTACAGTGCAGAAGCATCCTTGTATTCGCCTCTTCGTGATTACAAGGTTCAAGATCAGATACGTCAGTCTGACTACAGAGCACCTTGTCTTCAAGGGTAGTGCAGAGAACTTTGCCATTTGGGACATCAACATCTGACACATTTTCTGCTAAAAACTGAAACAGACTTGTCTTGTTAGAGTTCACCCTGAGGAATGATTTCCAATTAGATGGTAAGCGGGTGTTACCCTCTACCCTCAATGACATGCCATCCCCACGGATCAGTCTGGTGTGTGATTTCAAACTATCTGGTAGTTAGCGATCCCATACAATGTCCAATCTATCAACAGTACTTAACTGGTTCAGCATGTATGGAATGAAGACATTCTTGGAGAAATCATCAAATGTGTTAAGTACAAGGTTCCCCTTCTTGATTCTCACGGGATCCAGTGTCTGAACTATGGCTGCTCCATCAAGGATTTTGACTTGTACATCAGGTGGTTCAACAGTGCGAGTTGTGACCAAAGGCTCCAGAGAATTGAGAATGTCAGCCTTACTATGAGTTATTCTCATCTCATTGTTTTCTGCTAGTGATGGTGGCCA